CGGCTCCCGGCAGGGTGGCTGGGGAAGCGAAGGGAAGGCATGCCTCCCTGTTCAGTCTTCCCTTCCCCAGCCAGTGTTCCCCTCCCTGGGAAGGCTTGAGGTGAGGGGGAGGAGAGAAAGAAAGCAACTTTAAATGTGTTCTCAAAGCCCCCCCCCGGCCTGGCTTGGAGACGGCATTTGTCTCTTTAAATCCCTTCACTAAGCCAGCCAGCGTGGGTTCGTGAGGGGGTTAGAAGACACATTTAAAGTTAAAGTTGCTTTCTTTCCACCTGCCCCCCATCTATTTACTTTCTTTCCATTTTCTTTCTTTCCACTTTTCTTTTTCTCTCTCTCTCCCTTTCTCTCTCTCCCTTCTTTCCTTCCTTCCCCCTTCCTCCCATCTATTTGCTTTCTTTGTTTCTCTCTCTCTCTTTCTTTCTACTTCTTTCATTCTTTCTTTCCACCTCTCTCTCTCTCTTGGACAAATAAATATCATTAGCAAACAAATAAATATCTTTGAATAGATAAATATAATTATCAATATCTGTTTTTACCCCTTTTGTTTTATTTTTGGCAGTCCCATTTAATGTTAATAAAAAACAAATTTGCATATTTTCCAATTAAAACGTGTAATATTTGTTTATGTCTTGTGGCTCTCAAACATCTGACGTTTATTCTATGTGGCTCTCACATTAAGCAAGTTTGGCCACCCCTGGAATAAAGCGAATTTGTATAGCTCCAGAAGAGTCCAAACCAAAACCAGACGGGTAAGCGTGAATTTAAGTCACACTTAAATGCACATGAAAGCTTGTATCTTGTATTAAACTGTGTTAGTCTTAAAGGTGCCACTGGACTCGAATTCAGGTCTGGATCGGGTCAGTGCCCAAACGGGAGACCTCCAGGAATGTCCTTAAGAAAGTCTCCTTGAATTCCATGACGGAAGAAAGAAGGATGATAAAAGATAAGATAAAGGAGAAAGTCCCACAGCCATTACAAATGGCTTTAGAATACACCTTGCTATGGATTTATATATATTTGAATACGTAGTTTTCAATACCTTGTATTTATACAGTGCAATTTTGCACCACTCTTCCTCCGGTGAGCTCAGGGAATTATATGCAGTTCTCCTTTCCTCTGTTTTACCTTCACAACAACCCTGTAATGGATGCTAGGCTGATTCAAGGAGATTTGTGGCAGATTGTATTTGCTTATAGTCATAATGATTTTTTTAAAAAAAATAAAGCCACTGAGTATGTGCAGAGTATCTTTCCCTCACTGCTGAGCCGGAAGGTATTTTCCCATTCCAAAACTGGTATTAGAAGAGCATAAGAAGAGCCCTAGCATATCAGACCAGTGATCTACCCAGTCTAGCATCCTGTCTCACACAGAGGCCAACGGGTTGAAATTAAATCAGAAGAGTTTTTGGCTAAACATTAGGAAGAACTTCGTGAGAGGTAGAGCAGTTCCTCAGTGGAACAGGTTTCCTTGGGAGGTGGTGGGCTCTCCTTCTTTGGAGGTTTTCAAACAGAAATGCCCTTCACTACCCGAAGGAGTCTCAGAGCAGCTTACAATCTCCTTTCCCTTCCCCACCCCACAACAGACACCCTACCCTGTGAGGTAGGTGGGGCTGAGAGAGCTCTCCTGAGAACTATCCTTGAGAGAACAGCTCTGACAGAACATTATGACTGACCCAAGGTCACACCAGCAGCTGCATGTGGAGGAGTGGGGAATCAAACCCAGTTCTCCCAGATTAGAGTCTGTGCTCATAACCATTACACCAAACTGGCTCTCCTTAGCCCATGGCTAATCACAGTCCCCTCAATCCCCCCCCCCATTTAGGATTCAAAGGCAGGGCCTTGGGCTTGGAAGATGGAAAACCAGTAACAGATTGCCTCTGAGCCGGTGTGAAGTGCACTGAATAACACAACCCAGCTTCCACACACACACACACACACTAAATAAAGGAACAGTCCTTTACTTTACTGCTGGGAAACTCCAACATGATAATGGAAAGGTAGGATAGAAATCATACAAACAGATTGGCATTTATGAATTCTTACTAGCATTTTTTTGTGTGCAAAGTCACTTTGCCAGTGCAGTGTAACGATTACCGCCTCGGAGTAGGATCTGGGAGACTCCGGTTCAAACCCCTGCCTGGCATTGAGGTTTGTTGGGTGACCCCAATTGGGCCAGCCACGTCCCCTCAGCCTAACCTAACTTACAGAGAGGAGGAAGAAACTGAGGAGAGGAGGGCAATGTAAAGCGCTGAGAGTCCCCCATCCCCCCCCAGGAAGAAATGCCATTGTATACAAGAAGTAAAACAAAAAACTTTGTTGTAATAATAAAATGCTTCTGATGAGGAGGATCTACAAAGAGGTTGGAGTCCTTAGGCCTCTCAGGACACGTCCCAAAATGAATGCCTGTTGCACTGTCTACCAGTAATCATCTTGGAAGACCAATCCACATGGCCCCTTTCCCTCCCATGAAAGAGCTTTCGGTTCCGAGCATTTTTTTGCCAACGGTTGCTATCTTAATATCCTTGCCTCTCTTCTCTTCCTTCCTTTTGACATCTCTTCTGTGCGGGGCATTTTGCTGGTAAGCGCTTTGGGAGAGGGGTGCTATTTTTTTAATGACCCTCTGAAAAACGAACGTACTTCCTCCTGTACCCTATGGTGAACCTCTGGGATACACTGCCATGAGACAGTCACTACCTTAGACAGAAAAGAGCAAGAGTCCAGTAGCACCTTAAAAACGCACAAAATCTGGCAGTGCCCCCTCTAAGCTGCGGAGTCTTGTGAGCGAAAATTCTATCTTGTGAGCTATTGGCATTAAAGTTGTGAGCAAGAGATTTGGCGACTGCACAAATTAGTTTGCTCTGGAGCCCTCCTTCCTGAGCTGAGACAAAAATGTGTGAGCTGGTGGCTAAAAAACTGAGAGCTAGCTCACACTAACTCAGCTTAGAGGGAACACTGGCCAGTGACTCATGAAAGCTCCTACCCTCCACAAATTTTGTTAGTCTTTAAGTTGCTCTTTTCTACTGCTAGAGACAGACTAACAGGGCTACCCATCTTGATCTGTCTTGGACAGATCTGGTAAACTAAAGAACACTTGCATGAGAAAGCACCCAGCAGTGGCTACTTGCTACAAGAGCTAAATGGAGCCTCCATGTTCACAAGCAGTATACCCTACTGAACCACATGCTGGGCTAAGCTGTGGAGTCTTGTGAGCAAAAATTCTACTTTGTGAGCCACTGGCATTAAAGTTGTGAGCAAGAGATTTGGCTACTGCATAAATGAGTTTGCTCTGGAGCCACCCTTCCTGAGCGAAGACAACAATGTGTGAGTCAGAGGCTAATAACTGTGAGCTAGCTCACACTAACTCAGCTTAGAGGGCGCACACTGGCTGGGAGTACACACAGGGTTAGGGCTTGGGTTGCCAGGTCCCCCCTGTCCACTGGCAGGGGATGGGGGGTAGGGTTGCCAGCTCCAGGTTGGGAAACTCCTGGATATTTGGGGGTGGAGCCTGGGGAGGACAGCGACCTCAGTGGGGTGTGCAATGCCACAGAGTCCACCCTCCAAAGCAGCCATTTTCTCCAGGGGAACTGATCTCTGTGGTCTGGAGATGAGCTGTCATTGCAGGTGATCCCCGAGCCCCACCTGGAGGCTGGCATCGCTCTGGGATGTCACCAGTTTGGTGTGGTGGTTAAAGTGCGCGGACTCTAATCTGGGAGAACTGGGTTTGACTCCCCACTCCTCCACTTGCACCTGGCTGGATGACCTTGGGCAAGCCATAGTTCTGATAAGAGCTGTCCTTGAAAAGAGCAGTTTCTGTCAGAGCTCTCTCAGCCCCACCTACCTCAAAGGGTGTCTGTTGTGGGGAGGGGAAGGGAAAGGAGTTTGTAAGCCGCTCTGAGACTCCTTTGGGTAGTGAAGGGCGGGGTACAAATCCAATCTCTATTCTTCTTCTTCTTCTTCATGCTGGCTTCCCAGCTGCCCAAAAGCCATGCACCGGCTGTTTTGAAAATGCTTCTGAACCAGAGGTAACCTGGGTCCAATCCAGCATGGCAAATTCTTTCATTTTTTATGCCAGCATCTTGCAGGCCCTCCACTGTGTATAAACAGCACACCACCGCAACACCTCAAACCACGAGGTACAACCGTTTCCACGTTTGCTCGAACACTCACTCCGCAATCTCTGCCCTGCCGAGCTTTCCACACCCTTCCAGGTATCAAAAACCATCCCTGCTTCTTTCTTTCATGCTTAATTTGCGACACACACGGCACCCACTCGCTCAAGACACTTTGGAGCGTTTCCTTTCGATTCCTTTGTAGCAGAAGCGATGCCTGGCTAATTCACGACCCCCCCTCGAGGTTCCCTCCCCCCCTTTTGTTCTGAGCATGCTGCGCCTAATTTATTCACGTGTGTATAGATGTAATTGCACACAGAAAAAATACAATACAAACAAAGCCATGCCTTCAAGCGTGGGAAGAGGACGCTACTATCAGTGGGAAAGGGACTTTTGAATGGAGGAGGGCCTAGCTCTATGGGCAGAGCATGTTCCTTGCATGCAGAGGGTCCCAGGTGCAAACCCCAATTAGCAGCCAGTGATTAAAAGCTCCAAAGGCCTGCCAAAGCCTTAATCTCCAAAGTCCCGATGAACTGATTTGTTCCTGCATGGAATTAATTTGCTAACAAGGATTGGGAGAAATTTTCACCTTCCCTGCCAACACCCCCCCCCCCCTGGGTTTCCCTCCCCATCCTGATCTCTGTTCCCCTCCAGGATGCTGGGGAGGCGACTGGGCAGGGCAGTCCCAAGCAAAAAAACAGGGATGAGACAGATGGGCAGAGGAGCTGGACTCAGCGGCAGGGACAAGCAGACAGGGGATTGAGACGCCACCCGTGTCCCGGTGCAACCTCTCCGATCACCAGAGAGCATCTCTTTGGCGGCAGAACGCACCCTGTGCCAAAGGCGCCTTTGAAATCTGGCTGAGGACCCAGCTGGAGAATCAAACTGTGTTCACCTTTTAGGCCCGAAACCCTTTTCCAGCCACCTGTGAAACCTCTGGCAAATGCATCCTTCTCTGTCTGATCTCTGCCACCTTAGAGAATGCAGGCTTTCATGATGGGGGTAAGGCCCGGTTCTCTCTTCGAAGAGCTGCAGGTGGTGGTGGTGGTGGGGGGGGACGATGAATCTCTGCAGGGAGGCGTCAGCTGTCACTCACAGACAGGGATGACGTGCGTCAGTCCGCAGGGTGACGGCAATGACTGCAAAGCAATTTAGGGGCCCAATTGTGAAAACGCCTTTTAATTAAGCCATCTCTACGCACGCTGCCCGCATTATGATGGTACGCCTACAGTCACGGCTGGGGAGTGTGGATAAATCAGCAGTACCTTTGGGGACTCTAAAGAGTGCCTCTAATGCGTGTCTTGGTTTGGATTAGACGGCCCGTTTTCTATGGGGACTCTTTCAAGTGTTGATAGATTCAGGGGGGGGGTAACCGTGTTAGTCTGAAGCAGCAGAACAAAGTTTGAGTCCAGTGGCACCTCTAAGGCCAACAGAGTTTAATTCAAGGTATGAGCTTTTGTTTGCACGCATACTTGGATCTGAAGAAGTGTGCATGCACACGAAAGCTTATATCTTGAATAAAACTTTTTTTGACCACCTCTCCCTCTATGAGCCCCAAAGGGTTTTACGATCTGCCAATAAACACCTTCTGGTGGTCCGTCTCACCTTGACTAGGGCCAGGGCCTTCTCAGCCCTGGCCTCTACCTGGCGGAATGAGCTCCCATACGAGATCAGGGCCCTGCAGGACCTTTTACAGTTCCGCAGGACCTTTTACAGTTCCGTAGGGCCTGCAAGATGGAGCTCTTCCACCAGGCTTTTAACTAGGGTGACGGACATCCCTCCCTCTTTCCTGGGCCTCCCCTCAGTGGGTCAGAACTGCTTACCAGAGATGGCATCAGTGAGGCCTAATTCTAATGACAACTGCACCAGCTGAAGAATATAGTTGTAATTTATTAGTGTTTTAATTGTATTTTTACCAATTCCTTCGTATTTTATATATTGTATTTTTATTAAATCTGATGTAACCCGCCCTGAGCCTGCCGTGCGGGGAGGGCGGGATAGAAGTAGAATAAAATAAATAAATAAAAAGAAAATTGGTCTTAAAGGTGCCACTGGACTCAAGCACTGTGATGAGTCCACCTTCTGACGCTGACGCTTTCTCAAGGGGAAATGATGTTGGTAGTTTAGGTATAAGCTTTTGCGTGCATGCATGCTTGTGTCCGAAGAAGTGTGCATGCCCACAAGAAGTTTATACCTTGAATAAAACTTTGTTAGTCTTAAAGTGGACTCAAACTTTGTTCTTCTTTAAGTGTTGTTACCCAACTCCAGCATCTGAGACAGGGACCGGCAGAACGAACCCTTCAACCCTGTCCTGGTCTCACCGGGTGGCCTCGAAGGTAGTCTGAATATTTCCGCATCGCTTTCTCATCTGGAAAACAAGAAGGCCTCGGGTTGGACCCCTGCACGGGAGGAGGACTGCCCCGTTAGCAGAACAGAAACTCAGGAGCCGACCGAAAAGCCTTAAATAGACAGCTCTGAAGCAGCAAGTTGGGTTCGGACTGATCTGCTCTCCTGCAGCTTCGAGTCAACAACTGGGCGGTCCTGTTTTGGGCAAATCAGCCAATCACCCCCTTTCAGATTTATTTTATCAAATCTGTACCCCAGCCTTTCTCCACAGAACTCAGGACAGGATGTAAGAACCAGTGTTCCCTCTAAGATGAGTTAGTCTGAGCTAGCTCATGGATTTTTAGCCTCTGGCTCACACATTTCTGTCTTAGCTCAGGAAAGATGGCTCCAGAGCAAACTAATTGGCAGTAGCCAAATGGCTCACTCACAACTTTAATACCAGTGGCTGACAAAGTAGAATCTTTGCTCACAAGACTCCGCAGCTTAGACAGAGCATTGGTAAGGACTGGGGTTTTTCATCCTCCTTGCCTATGTAGGTTAGGCTGAAAGGTAGTGGTTACTGAGGTTGAGCTAGGAATCGAACGCAGATCTCTCCAGTTGAGGAGTGATGCGTAAACCATTCCACCACACCAAACGGTAACCTAGGACTCCGTAAGGAGAGCTCCTAGCTATCAGAAGAGTGGAGCTTACACACTCGGCAGGCCCTGTGCCAGGTATTTGGGGGGCACCAAGCAGACCACCCAGAGCCCCCCTCCTCCTCTGACCACCACCAGGACTCCCACTCATGCCTTTCTTTCAGCAACCCATACCCCTGCCTGCCTACATGTCCTTCCTTCTCCTGGCCATTTGTCAGCCTTCCTACTGACAGTATGTCCTTTCCCCAATGAAGAAGAGCTGGTTTTTATACCCACTTTTCTCTACCTTAAGGAGCCTCAAAGTGTCTTACAATTGCCTTTGCTAGCTTGATCTCATCAGATCTCGGAAGCTATGCAGGGTCGGCCTTGGCTAGTATTTGGATGGGAGATCCCCAAGGAATACCAGGGGCGGGACACAGAGGCAGGCAAAGGCAGACCACCTCTGAAGTGTCTCTTGCCTTAAAGCCTTAAAGTCTCGCTTGCCACCTATTAATTCCTCTCCCCGCAACAGGCACCTTGTGAGGCGGGTGGGGCTGGGAGAGTTTTCAGAGAACTGTGACTGGCCCAAGGTCACCCAGCAGGCCTCAGGTGAAGGAGAAGTGGGGAATCAAGCCCGGTTCTCCAGATTAGAGTCTGCCGCTCTTAACCACGACGCCACGCTGGCTCTCAATAGTACTGATGGGTGTGTGCAGATGGCAACCCCACCACAGTGCCCTCCAGGAGTGTCCCCATTGTACACTACCTGCAGGTCCCTTCGTGGTGGCATGGGGCTGGGGGACTCTGTGGCAGTGGGGCAACCCCCAGCAGCCGCCCCACCTCAGGATACGCTGATGCTTCCATTTCCCCTTATCCCCCCATCCCCCAGGCACTCACAAAGCTTCTCCCTGCAGTTCGGTGGGTTCCAGTTAGCCTTTCCAAACACATCACTCAAAGACAACTCCTTCCTTCCCACCCTCCCAAGGTGCACAAGAAAGGCCTTGCAAGCGAAGGGGGGGGAAGGGGGGAAGCGCAGCCCACACACCCCGTATTAATAGCACCCAAGCGATCAGCGCTTAAAATAGTCCGCAAGGAGCAAGAAGGCGGGTCTCAGCTGACAGCAACCTATTCTGCAGAAGAGCAACTGTGACGCAAACACAATTAAAAAGGCTGCTTTTAGAAACGCACACACACCTACGGGGGGCACCTCCCTCTGAACGTCCAGCACATGCCCACGCACAAGTTAACGCTCTACCAAGGCCGGCTACAGCGTTACAGAGCCTCCCCAAATGGGGCATCTCACGCAGGGGCATATCGTTTTCACCAGTGTTGAACCCTTGGCACCTCCAGCCAAAGGGGAGTTTTCTTTCTTGGAAAAGGCTTTTGCCCGAGATCCAGAAAATGGGTCTCATGCCACTAATCCAGATAAACCTAAATTCCACCCACATGCAAAGCCTGGCAAAGGTTTGCACTTCCATATTTTGAATTTTATACGTGATCTCCCCCCCCCCCGGCCGGCATGCATGTACTAACTTTTTCTTTATATGGAGAACTCTTACACTGCAGTAGAAGAGAGCAAGAGTCCAGCAGCACCTTAAAGACTAACACAATTTGTGGCAGGGGAGGGGCTTTCACGAGTCACTGCTTACTTCTTCAGATACAACTAGAATGTGAGTCCATCTGTCCTTATAACTGGAGAGTGGAGGGATTTCAGATTCTAGCTGTATCTGAAGAAGTGAGCAGTGACTCGTGAAAGCCCCTCCCCTGCCACAGATTTTGTTAGTTTTTAAGGTGCTACTGGACTCTTCCTCTTTTCTGTTGCTATAGTCTACCCATCTTATTGCTACAGACAGACTAGTAACAGGCAGGGGTCATTTCCTGCCAGAGCGCACAGGAGCGGAGCTCTGGCAGTAAAGAGCCCAGGGGGCGGGCACATGCAACAAGCCCCGCCCCCTGCTCCCAGCAGCCCTCAGTCAGAGCAAGAAGCAGCCAGGTAAGTTGCAGAGCCCCCCCCCGGCCCCCCAGTCCAAAACAGTCCAGTGGCACCTTTAAGACCAGGTTTTATTCAGGTACAGCTCTCCCTCCTCTGCGAGGGCAGATCAGCATGTTCCCCCCCCCCCCAATAGTTAGCAATCCAAAACAGTCCAGTGTAGCCTGAGTGGTGGGTGTTGCCTTCTGACACACTTCCGGTGGTTTTAGGGGGCGTGGCATATGCAAATAAGTTATGCTAATGAGTTATGCTAATGAGCTCCTGCACCTCTTTTTCTACGAAATGACCCCTGGTAACAGGGCTACCCATCCTGATTTATGTCACATAGGCTGCGGTCACACGGAGCATTAACCACGCTACAGAGATGGAAGATAGGTGGATTTTCTGTGTGCGATCACTCCACCACATCTGGGAAGCGTAGAGCTCCCGTGCCGAACCCGAGGCTTCCCGCCGAAGATGCGGGGTAAAAAACTAGTACCTCCGAGATACTAGTTTCCGGAAACCGCGGGGCAAGGGCGGACGCCTGATCGTGTTTCCGGTGGAATCTCGTGGCATCCAGCGCGCGCCCATGTCCCGTTGCGAACAGGTTTTTTCCCCCAAGTCTCCACAGAATGCGCACAAGCACCCAACGGTGCATGCGCACAAAGAGGCCCCCTCCCACTGCAGCCAGGCTTGCCGCCTCTGGCCACTGTCGCGCAGGCGGTTAGAGCAGCTGTGATGAGGGGGCCCACCTCCCCCTCCATTGGCTATGCCTCGGAGCTCTGTTGGGGTCCGGAAGCGTCTGTCGCCCTCTCCGGTAAGCCCACCACCCACCTTCGGATGTGCAGATACGATTGCTCAGTCATGCGTATGCTCAAACTTCAGTTTTTTTTAAAAATCCATCCCGTTTGCCACGGAAGTGGCGCCTAGCGATTGCTGGTGTGATCGCGCCGCACCACTTCTTTGCGCGCTGCAGGATCATCGTGTGATCGGCACCTGCCCCCTAACCACAGGACCTCCATGGGACCTCGATGGGTCGTCTGATCGCGCAACCCCCCATTATTTTCCTCCGGGGCAAACAGCCCCGCCCCCCCCCCCCGCATTTTCCGGCCCGTATGACCGGGGCCATAGTACTCTTAACGAAAGTCCTTCTAAAAACTGCAGCTGACAAGAAGCACCACCTGACACGGGGCCTTCCTCCTTCCATCACACA